AAGACCATTTCCTGATTTCTATAAAGCCTTCTTATTTGCTTAATTCATATTATGTTCTGTCTCTTACAGCGAAAACGAAATTTATCAGACGGTTATGCTCAGACATGCAAATATTTTGGGCTTTATTGCAGCTGATAACAAAGATAACGGACTATCGACAGAGCTCTGGCTAATAACGGATTATCATCCTCATGGATCGCTATTTGATTTCCTCCAAGTTAATTGCTTGACACCTTTGGCACTAATCCGCATGGCTGCCTCTATCACTAGCGGTCTTGCTCACCTTCACATGGAAATCACTGGAACACAGGTAAATGCTTCTGTAGCTCCAGGCTAATTATTGGATGGTTTTTGGTTTTATCATTTGGCACTAGAAGCTTGTGCTAATGTTAAACCCAAACATATAGTAATGCTTTGATTAAAATCCTCCTCTATTCATCAGCTTGCGATAATGTGTTAAATACCTAATTGATTCTAAATAATCTCCTACTCATTTGAAAGTTGTATTTGCAAAATCAGAATTAGTGATTTGTATACCGTTATGTTCACGTTTTTTTGAGAGGTTTTCTATCTAGATTGAAGAATTTATTTTAAAATTACGACTTAGCTGCTAACGTGATTAAAATTTTGAGGCTTGTGACGATCAAATAAAGCTTAAATTCTTATTTACAAAACTCTTTTTACATCCACTTGTTGCAGATGGACATTAGGTTACAGAGTCTAGGATCGGCTAATTGCTCACTTTTTCTCCTCTTATTTTATATTTTGTGTGTAAACTAAATGCTTCCCACTTTTTGCCATGTCTTATTTTACTTACCCTCGTGGAAACTTGTTTGTATTTAACTATTTCTTCTAAATTAATGCATTCTAGAAGATATAGATTAAAATTCTAATCATTTTAGAACATCAAACGGGCATACTAAACATTTGCACACAGTCTATGGTAAAAAATTAAGACATCTTGGACAAACTTTGTCCTAGGGAATTAACTACTTTCGTTCTGGTTATTATTATTATTTATTGGCATCATTTATTTTGTTGGGTTTTTTTCAGTACTTTTTATACTTCAATTATATATATACGTTTCTGTGTTGCATTCTCCATCAATTTAGTCCTTGGCTCTCAATTTATACATATTCTTGTCCACGTTGCTAGAATTGCCCCACCAAAAACTCACGGTGAAGATTTAGTATATATATTCATATAATATGGTGTATATTATCTTACTTTGCATCTCAGATTTTCATGATATATTTATAGGCATTGATAAACTAAAAGTGCCAGCTCTTCATAAGCTCGTCGACATTATACTTTTAGGGCAAGCCATCGATCGCACATCGTGATATGAAGTCACGCAATATCTTAGTCAAGTCGGATGGGGAGTGCTGTATTGCGGATCTTGGCTTTGCTGTCAAGTTGGATAGCTCTACAGGCAGCGTTGATCTCGCTTATAATCCAGAACGGGGAGGAACTCGACGCTACATGGCCCCTGAAGTGCTTGATGGCACTCTGCAGCATGATTCCTTTGAGGCCTACAAGCAAGCCGATATCTACAGTCTTGGACTTGTATTTTGGGAGCTAGCAAGGCGTTGCTTTATTCCGGCTGTATACGGGCCTGAAGACTACCAACTTCCATATCAGGTCTGTTGGCTATCCATAATGACGCATATCATGAACCAACCAGATCATTATTAACGTTTTTTTATTATTAACTTGTTTCGAGAAACTCAACTATGCAACTTTATTGAGAACCGCATGATTCAATGAAATATGTAACTATTAATCGAAGATATGAAGCTCAATATGGTGTGGCCTTTTATGTGATCGCAGTTTCATTTCGTTGTATAGAAGTTGTTTGATCTTGTATTCGCAACTTGGTCATATTGGAAGGAAGACTTAGAGGAACGCACCTAGTCCGGATTACGTTGTATGCATTAGAATTTCCTAAGTCGGACCGTGGACGTGGTATATTCCCGTGGGAATGTTTATGGTTGTTAACGTGTGTTCGAATAGGCCTTCATCGAATTGGTAGTACTTAAGCATGTCTTTGGTCTTGTGCGTTCCTCTAAGTCTTCCTACCAATATGACCAAGTTCCGAAAACAAGGTCAAACAACTTCTATGTAAATTTTAGTTTTATAGATATGGGCTTGGTTGATATCGTTTGATAGAAGGTAGGACAAAATTAGTATTAGTTTATTAATTCATTTGATTAACCATAGGTAGCCTTTTACAAGTTGGCGGAATAATTTTATTAAAAACCGGTGCATAAAGGAGGTATTAATATTTTAATTATGATGAGGCTAGCTGACAGTCAATCAACCACTCTATCACTTCTTTCAAACCCTATATCTACTTTCCCAAGACAAACGTCGATCCATGCCAATAGTTTATTTTGAGTTAAGCCTTCCCAAGATCAGTTTACACTTAT